CCAGGTATCAAACTCCTGCTGTAGTGGCTGGTGAAAGCTTGATAACACTGAGACTTTAACCTCTGAGCCACCAGGGAGGCCCTACTTTATTTTTCTTTTAATTAATTTTTAATATTGGCTATTTTAAAATAAGTACTTAACTTGCCTAAAATGTAGCTTCTTTGTGAGATTCAGTATGAATTAGGCACAATGTATCATTGATCAATATTTGTCCTTTTATCTCAGTTTTATTAGTCACAATCCGCACCATTCCATGGTATACTCACTAAGTTCTCTGCTATGTGTTCAGTTTGATTAATTTGGTATTGTAACTTACAGTAAAAAAATTAATTATATTATTTTGTTTTGTATTTACATAGGAAACTTATTAACCCAAGTGTTAAATAACAGGCATTTGGGAAATGATTTTATTTATTTATTTTTTAAAAAGATTTAGTTATTTATTTATACAAGCACTGGATACAGTCAGAAGTGCGGGAGGGTGAGAGAATTCACCAGAGCCAGAGCGGGGAGCAGAACAGTCAGAATGATGAAATACACTGCTGAGGGGAGCAGCAGGCAGCAGGAGAGGTCTTTGCGCCATGTGGGACCCTCGCCCCGCAGCAGGGGATGGAACCAGCAGTTCAGAGGCTGCGGGCAGCTTCGCAACCGAGCGCTCAACCACTGCGCCACCGGGGAGGACCAGGGAAATAATTTTAAATGGTGGTTTCCTCCTATCTAAGATACTTCTATTTTAATAAACTCCTATTGATTCATTTTATCTCACTTGTTATTTTGCCTACCTATAGAGAACACAAGGAAAAAAGCACAAAAGTGATAAATAATCAATGCTAGCATAACATAGGCAAATTTCCTTGCATAAACACACACACATTCACACACAAATGAAAAGCTTTGTTATATAATATTGAATAAGCAAGTGAAGTTCAGCATGAGGAGATTATCCATCGATCTATCTACTATCCATAGGTATACTATTCTAGTCAAGCAAGACTTCATAAATATTTATGAATACAAAAATGTTGGAGTCTTTAAAATAACAATCCTGTATTTTATATAAATTCTTACATTGTAATTATATGAGATTCCTTCAATGGCTCACTAGCTGAATAAATTTTATTTCAATGTGAGCAAATCTGTTCATAAGAGGGTTGATTTACCCATATTGATGCATTTAAGTACATTTAAATGTTAAGTACATTTTGTAAGGTATTTAAGCTATCAACAAATTCCTTGACAGACAACATAGAGGAATAGGGTCATCCTCTTCCCTAAAAAGCAACAATGTTAAAATAATATTTGCTTAATGGAAGTTCCGGAAGCTCTGTTTCATCAACAAAATCTGAGAACTTTCCCGTGAAGATCTCCAATTATGTTTGTAAATGTTAAGGGGAAGGAACCAAGGATGTGAAGTGGGGCTTGACTGGGAGAATAGATAAACCAGCCAGCAGAATAGATTGGAGGTCAACCATACAATTCATGATGGTAAAACCTAGGGTGTTGTGAAATTCCTGGAGGAAATCTTCAGATGCATGTGTAGGTGGAGGACCAGCCTGGAACAATAAGAATTCTGGCACAATTCTAACACAGAAAATTGGGCAATTCACAGCATTTGTTGGCACCAAACCTCCTCCCAGAAGACAGCAAGTAAATTCCAGGCTGAGTCAGTATGAATTCCATAAAAAGCTCACCGCACAGAGAACTTGTGAGATAACTCATGAATCCCTTGGGAAAGTATACAAATGATATGCAGAACTTTCAGTCCCCATGGAAGCAACAACAGAAGCGGGGCAGGACAGCAAAGGCCACTCTTGGTGTCCGTAGCAATAATATGGTACACGCCCTCCACAATTGGTCATCTCTCTTGTGTTTCAAGCTGAACTTAGCACTGGGATATGAGCCTGATGGTCTGGAGTTAGTTCCTCCCCCCACACCCCCACCATGACGCTCAAGCTTCATAGATTACAACCCACAGTAGAAAGGAAAAACAAGGAGATAACATCAATACAAAATACAGCATGTTGAAGAGCAAAATAAGAGGAAATAGAGTTGGCCAACTTCAGTAATCAAACTGAGATCAAGTATAAAAGCCAAGGACTTCCCTCCTACCTGACCTTATAGCAATGTAAACTAAGAAAAGTCACAAGCATGGTATTCCTGGGGGCACAAGTGGTTAAACACAGCACTATGAAGCAATCCATAGCCTCTGCAGCACAAGTTTGATACCCTGGCTGGCCAGGGAGCAAGCTACATGGCACAGCAGACCTCTCTTGCCTTGCTCACTGCTCCCCTCAGCAGTGTATTTCAGTCAGTCTGCCTGTTCTGTTCCCCACTCTGTCTCTAGTGAATCCTCTCCCCCCACCCCACACACACCCACACACCTCTGGCCTCTACCCCAGCTTTTGTATGCATAAATAAATGAATTTAAAAAAAAAAAAAAAAAGAAGGCCTCCCCAGTGGCGGTGGCACAGCGGGTTGAGCACAGGGCCATGAAACTGTCTGCAGCCTCTGCAGCTCGGGTTCGATTCCCAGCCAGCCAGGGAGAGTCTCACATGGCACAGCAGACCTCTCCTGCCACACCCATTGCTCCCCTCAGCAGTTTTCGGTCCATCTGCCTGTTCTGCTCCCCACTCTGTCTCTGGTGAATCCTCTCACCCTTCCACACCTCTGGCCTGTCCCTAGCTATTGTATAAATAAAATGAATAAATAAATCTTAAACAAAAAAAGAAAAGAGAAAAGGCACAAGAAATACTAAACTCCTGGCACCACACACACACACATGCACACACACACACAGATAAGATAACACACATGCCTTGGAAGGAAGGGATCTCTGAACACAAGATGGAAAAACAAAGCAAAAAGAACAAAAGTATGGAAGTCCTGTGGCAAATATAAAATATCAGACAAGACTTCAAAACAACAATGTTGAAAATATTAAATGAATTATTGGAAAATAAGTCAAAAGCATAGAGGCAGCTTCAAAATCTTAGAAAGGATATCCAGGAACAAAGAGAGCTCCTCACCAAAGAGATTGAATATGTTAAAAGATCACACACACAAAAGAGATCAGAATGAGATAAAGACACATTTAGAAAGTGTTTTAAATATAATTGAACTGGCAGAAAAAAGGATTGCAGAAACAGAAGACTCAAATGAACATATCACCCATTTAGACATGAGAGACAGGACAAAGGAAAAATTAGAAATTCTATGAGAAACATCATGCTTAATTAGAAGAGGAAACTTAAGAAAAATTGGTTCCCAAAGGATGATGATAGAGAGAGAAGGGGAAGGAAAACCTATTCAAGTAAATAAGTGAGACTACACCAAACCTCAAGAATGAATTAAATATGCTTGTTTGGGAAGCTGAGCGAGTATCCAATTTTTTGATCCAGAAGACTTAAATCCAGACACATCATTAGTAATTTATCAAAAACTGAAATCAAAGAAAAAGAAAAAAAATTAAAAGAATGAAAAAAAAAAATAACTTACAAAGATCCCCAAATTAGATTTTTCAAGACACTCTCCAGGAAAGAACATAGTGGATGGATATGTCTACATTTCTAATGGACAAGAATTCCCAGCCAAGAAAATTTTATCCTATAAAATTCTCATTCAAGTATGAATGTAAAATTAAGAAATTTCCTGACAAACAGAAGTTGACAGTTAATCACCACCAGATCTGCTCGCCAATAAATGCTTAAAGTAAGTCTTTTACAAGAAAAGAAAAAAAGGTGAAATGCAAATTCCTGAGAAAATGACAGCAGAAATACAAAACCAGAAGAATGATCAAGAATATTATGAGTTAATAACAAAACACTAAAAGAGAGATAGAAATATACAAAACCTATAGTTAAAGTTTGGAGAACAGACACCAGCTCACAAAGGATTTTACGTAAAACCCCCATGCTAAGCACAAACCAAAAACCCAGAATAGATGACCATAGAAAAAGAAAAAAATAAATTAATAGAATTTCTTATTTATTTATTTATACAAGCACTGGGTACAGTCAGAAGCGCGGGATTGTGAGAGAATTCACCAGAGCCAGAGCAGTGAACAGAACAGGCAGACTGACGAAATACACTGCTGAGGGGAGCAGTGGGCATGGCAGGAGAGGTCTGTGCGCCAAGTGGGACCCTCACAGGCAGTGGGAATCGAACCGGCACTGCAGAGGCTGTGGGCAGCTTCGCAGCCCAGCGCTCAACTGCTGCGCCACTGGAGAAGCCCAGAATTTCTTTTATTTTTTAAGATTTATTTATTTTTATACAAGAGCTGGGGTATAGTCCACAGTGGGGGCGGTGAGAGGATTCACCAGAGAACAGAGAGCAGAACAGGTAGACAACAGAAATACACTGCTGAAGGGAGCACCGGGCGTGACAGAAGAGGTCTGCCACACCATGTGGGATTCTCGCCAGCTGGCAGGGATTGAACCTGCACTGCAGAGGCTGCGGACAGCTTCACAGCATGGCACTCAACCCACTGAGCCACCAGGAGGCCCAAAATTGATGGAATAGCTAAGGAAAGTCATCCACAAAAAGCAGATAGAAACAAATGCAAAAAGAACACAGAAAAATAAAATAAACACAAAACAAATGATAATGAACAGAATGTGTCAATAATAACACAAGATATGAATGATGTGAATTCATAAATGAGTACTATATGGGAAGGCCATAGCAATATAAACACAAATAACAAAATAAAAATTTCAAATAGTCATTCTGCTCTTGAAGGAACTAGAAAGATAAGAACAAAGGGTCATAAAACAGTAGAAGGAATGAAATAATAGTCCGAGCAGAAGTTAACAGAAAACAAAAAGTATAAAAGATCAGAAAAACTCAGAATTGCCGGGGACCAGCCTCCAGCAAAACGTCGTGTCAGGGGTTCCTGAAAGGATGAGACGGCCTAGGCGAAAACGAAAGAACTGAAAACTTAAGGGCTGAGGGGAAGGGGATGAGGTAGAATGAGGAGATACTGACACTTGGTGAGATGCTAGTATCTTCTGCCGAGAGACTCAGCAGGTCTTTATTTATTTATTATTAGTAATAATAATAAGAAAATACATTATCATGTGTAAAGCATAAACAATTAGTATATTATGTTTCCCATAGACTACTGGCCCCTACAGGTCTTAGCTAGACGGCAGCTTTCAAGGTTAACAGATAATAAACCAAACCTAACATTAAAGCTACTTATTTTTTTATTTAGACAATTATTTAAAACAGTGAATAACCGCCAGTGCATCCCTATCAGCTAAAGCCTAAGCATCAAAGGACTATTCTATTCACATGACCTTCAGCCGGAGACCAGCTGCAGTTTAGCTATCAGAACTTTTTCTACTTAGAAATTTCTTAACTCAAATAGCTTCATATTAAAAACTTTCCCAAGAAACTTCAAGAGAAAACAAAATAGAAGGACCTGCTATGATTATTGTATTGTAATGCTTGTCAGGCATATTCAATAAGTTGTCTTTCATTGTCAAGTAGGCCAAATTGTTTAATAATTAGTTTTTAATTTTTCATGTCGATTATTTGCAATATACTGATGCATATAATATAGTGCCTAATGTACTTTTTTGGGAAATTTTTTTTTTATTTATGACCAAGAACAAAAAGTGAAGGAATGTTACATTTTTAACCTCACGGTGTGAGGCACAAGGAATCTTCAGCCCCACGATGTGAGGCCCTTTGGCTTCGGCCCCACGGTGTGAGGCCCTTTGGGCTTTGCTGCTTGTCAGTGTCTTATCTGGCTGGGGCATCAAGGCCTCCTGCAGCACCTCCCCCTTTTTGTTTTTGGCCATCATTTGCATAGTTTGCAACTCAACACGTGTCTGATTGATAGCACGGAAAAGCAATTTAATAAACAATGGGAAGAGTATCAATATAATTATGGTGACAAGCAAAACAACACCTAAAGTAATAAATGATGGGAACCAGGCGGCCTTAGTGGTATAATGTTGCAAGGAAGCCAGGAAGGAAGCAGCAACTTCTGCAGGTGTGGAGGAGGGGGCATGAGCTAAACTAATTGCCTTAATATTTTTCTGCAGAGCAGTAAGGTCCAGGGAAACGTTTGTATTATTTTAAACACCCAGTAAATGATTTTTGACATTATTTTAAGAAACAGAAGAAGAGTTATAAACATGTGAATTGACACAAATTCATTTGTAATCAGAATGACATTTGGTAGTCAAATGTGTTTTTATGTGTTGAAGTTGATTGCCAATATGTAAAAGTGATTCCTCAAGAACATTTAAACGAGCTTCAAACTTATTATCAATGTGGTCTTGGATAATCAAAGCGTGTGTGATGTTATGAGACAAATCATTAACATGGGAGGCAGTGTGAACTTGTTGCACGAGAGTAGTAGTAGAAACAGCAACAGAACTAATAATAGCAATAAGTGCCGTAATACCCAGTATAAGTGCCGCTACAAACCTTTTGGAGCGACGCAGTCCCTGTCCACAAGCTGAAGAGTATACAGTCCAATGTTATCATACCATGGCTGTTGTAAGCTTACAGGGAGCATGACATAAGGAGGTTGATGTAAGATAACAAAAGTAGCTTTAGACAATGAGCCAACAGAGGTAATACAGTTGGTGAGAATGCAGTCAGTACAATTAACATGAAAAACATGGTGATGATAAGTAATGGTTAATAGTCTGGGGCCCTCAACAAGGAGCGTATAAGGGGGGCCCACACAAGTCCCTACGGTGGAAGCATTAACAGAATGTTCAGGTCGGCGAAAACGCACAGGTGAAGTGGCGGCAAGGAGGTGAAACAAGTCCGGGTATGCACGGGAACCATTTGAAGTGTTGACAATGTAGGCGGGAGTAATCCATCCAGCTGAATACCACCGGGTGACAGGTTCCAGAGGTGGAATGAAGTGATTTGACCGGTTGTAGATGAGAGCGTCCTGCAGGAGAAACCTATAGTCCTCGGGGACATTAGTGGCGGATGTACCTGCTCCAAGCACTGAAAAATCATAAACAGAAAGATTAGTCTGGTAAGGCTGGTAGCGAAGTCCTGCAGAGGGAAACGTACAAGTATGCCAAGTGGGAAATCCATGATCTCTGTCAATAGTATTCCGGGAGTCATCTGAGTTGTAAATTGAACAGGCTGGGAGAGTGGAGGACACTGAAACTCGAGCTATGTTTTCATTAGTGCTGCGAGGACCAAGGAGAGATAAAAGCAGTACCCATAAATTACGGTTAGGTCCGGAGGAGGAAGGCTTTTGGAGATCCTGTTTAAAAATACTTGCCATTAATAGGTAGGCAGCCAGGTAGTTGAGACTTTATATAGTCAAGATTAGATGTAAAACACATAGGAGGAGAATTCATGCATCCCTGAAAAGAAAAGTTATTAGTGCTTATAAACAAAACAAAAGAGTCTGAATCGTCACCTAGTAAATCAGAATAATTAGTGAACACACTGGGCGAGGGAAATCCCCAAGGAGTGGGATGGAGAAAGAGGGGATCCAGGATGATGTGTGCATTTTGCTGTACAAGTAGCTGTCGAGCATTAGAGGTTAGGTTTTTGAGCAGATTTCAATTGTCATGATAAGACGTCTTACAAACCCGAAGGTGGTGCAGGGAAGATGATGATCTTCCAGCAGGGGATCTGGAGCAATGGCATCTTGGAGGAGGTGGATAGGGTCCCAGAGGGCTGCACCTATGCATCTTGGGGCGATGTGTCGGTGAAGGCTTTTGAAACATGGTGTCGGATCAGTCTGTCAGGAATCCAAATTGGGCCATTTGAATTCTGTGGAAAGATATAAGCATAGCCTCTCCCATTTGTTAATAACACATTAGGGCCTTTCCATGTTCCAGAAATGAGATTTTTCCACATAGCTTGAGGTTTAGAGTCCAGTTGGTCAGGATCCCAATGTCTATTAATTGTTGACATTCCCTTTACTGTAATGAACACAGTAAATGGAAGGGTACTCATCCCTAAAGGATGACAAAACCATATCCACAAATTTTTGACATCAAGTCGGACTGTTTTTCATGCCCTGAGGGAGAACTTTCTATTTATCTTATTGAAACAGCCTTTTTAAATTTACTGATGGGACACTAAATGCAAATCTTTTAGTCTTGGGGATGTAAAGGGATGGTAAAAAAGCAATCTTGCAAATCAATAACAATAACATGTTCATCTTTAGGGATGGCCACAGGTGATGGCAAGCCTGGTTGCAAGCATTCCATATCTTGCATAGTAACATTTATTGCTCTTAAATCCTGTAATAGTCTCCATTTTCCTGATTTTTTTTAACAATAAAAATTGGGGTATTTCATGGTCCTAAAATTAATTGATCTGTATTAATTGATCCTGTATTAGGTTTGTTACAACCTGTATTTTTTTCTTCTGTAAGAGGCCACTGCTCAACCCACACTGGTTTATTATCTTTCCAGGTGACTGGGTTGGCTGCAACTTGAGCAATGGCCCCTAGGTTAAATTTTGACCATACCCCATACCGGCCTTAGCACTTCTGGGAACTGGCTCAATTGGAGTTGTTCTCCCATAAAGATTTTTTTTTAACCCTTTGTCAGGGTGAAAACCCATTTGCAACATTTGTGATGTAACTATATTATTAGGGCTGAAAATTAATGTTTCTATTTGCGATAACACAGCTCTTCCCCATAATGTCATAGAAAGGGAAGGAATAACATAAGGTTGAGAAGTCCCGGACACCTGTCCATTATTTTTATTTAAAATTTGAGAACTTTTTGCCACATTTTGTGCTGATCCCAGTCCAACCAAAGTAAAGGGCGTGGCTTTTGTGGGCCAGGTGTTAGGCTAATTATGCCCTGCTATGCAAGTAACATCAGCATGGTGTCTAACAATTCCTTAATTGCTTTTTTTTTTTTAAAAATAGACATTACTAAAACTTTTAACAAATCATGATAGTGGTTTCTTTTTAGTAATCCAGAACACAAGGAGGTGCTTTGTGTATTTGTCACCCCAAAATACTACTTTAAACATTGCAGTTTTTTAAAATTGACTTAAAAACAATATAGCTTAGTTTCACTTGATAATGTTAATATGACAAAAAATTTACATATGTAAGTATATATATATATATATACACACACACACACTTTTTTAGTCAAGAAAAGAAAAACACTTTAAAGATACATTTAAACAGTAAATTGTTAATATTTAACATAACTTTAATGCATATATGCTTTGAATTTTATGATAAAACTTGAACTAGTTCTTGTATATCAAAAATTTTTGCTCATGATCTTAAAATTTGTTTTTATGAGAACTTATATAGGCGCCGTTTATGATTAGTCCTCTGGAGGTAAAAAACAAAACAAAACAAAAACACAAAAGCAGACACAAACAGACACAGAGATTTCTTGATATACATTTAAAATTTTGGCCATGTGTATATATTTAAGACATAGTTATTTTACCAATATGTGTGAAGATACTGAGGTTTAGAATTTTGCTCAAAAATGTCTGTATTACCACTTTATATTTTACCAGGTTAATTAGTTTTAACAAGAAACTTAACTTTTCACAAGTCCAATAAGTAAATTTAAAAGCTTTATTCAACCAATAAGTATTTTGTGTAGCTTGTTAGCAAGTCAAAAGTAACTCAACAGTTATTGCCTAAGACAATTTAGACTTAAAATCAGAGAAACACAGGGAAATAGAACTATTTTTGTACAATGAACCAAAATAGTTTTTTTAAGGTGGACAATAGAAAAGTTTAGTCTCCCACAGCAGGAAGACAGTAGAGACCTGCCAGTGATCCCAACACTGGAGAAAAAGTCCAGGCAGCTGCTTGTTGAGATCAAGGGCAGCCCCCACCAGCCCATTGCAGTGGGTTTATATTATTTTAATAAAAACCTTTTAGTCATATTATAGTCATATAATCTTACATAGTCATATTTAACCATTTTCTATCACTTTACCAATTGTGAATGAACTTTGAATACTATTATTTAGAAATGCCTTATTTATTTATTTATTTTAAAAGAAACAACGGCAAAACTCCACCAGGGGAACCTAGCCTCCTCCCCAAATAATTAACAGGAAAAGATTGGAGCATTTTTTCTTTCATTTAAGATTATGACACATTATCTCTTACTTGTTTTTGAGTTTTTATTTTTATCTCAACAATTTTAGCCAAGTCGGGGCTGGAAATTTGGGCTGGATTTTGGAATGGTCTCATAATTGGGAGCCGATGCCTTTGCAAAGAGGTCAGTACTAGCTCTAGAATCAAGTTTTGGCTTTTGAAAAACAATTTCACTATCCCAAGAATCCTGATCACTTTCTCTAATACTGTTTTGTTAATACGGGGCTGTCAGTTGAGTCCTCTTTGATGTCCTTTAGGCATGCAGACAGCCATAATTTTCTTCTGTCATTTTAGAAATCAAGAACAACACATCTCAACAAAATTTAGGAAACTAGCCAATTGCGCATGAGAGGTCTTAAGGCCTCTCTTAACAAGTATACTTAGATCAATAAAGAGTCCTCTTTCCTTAGACTCAATATGGCCCAATGCTTTTCAACGATAAGACACTCACTCGCCTTATCACGTAATAAGACACTCACTCACCTTATTACGGTTCTGACTTACTGCTCCCCTCAAACCTGCTTTCTCTACAGGCGGGTATGCACCCTACCCTACGGAGCAGATACTAGCCATCCCCACACGGGAAAGAAATCTTACCTTTCAAGTCCCTGTTCGGGCGCCACTTCCCGGGGACCAGCCTCCAGCAAAACGTCGTGTCAGGGGTTCCTGAAAGGATGAGACGGCCTAGGCGAAAACGAAAGAACTGAAAACTTAAGGGCTGAGGGGAAGGGGATGAGGTAGAATGAGGAGATACTGACACTTGGTGAGGTGCTAGTATCTTCTGCCGAGAGACCCAGCAGGTCTTTATTTATTCATTATTAGTAATAATAATAAGAAAATACATTATCATGTGTAAAGCATAAACAATTAGTATATTATGTTTCCCATAGACTACTGGCCCCTACAGGTCTCAGCTAGACGGCAGCTTTCAAGGTTAACAGATAATAAACCAAACCTAACATTAAAGCTACTTATTTTTTCATTCAGACAATTATTTAAAACAGTGAATAACCGCCAGTGCATCCCTATCAGCTAAAGCCTAAGCATCAAAGGACTATTCTATTCACATGACCTTCAGCCAGAGACCAGCTGCAGTTCAGCTATCAGAACTTTTTCTACCTAGAAATTCCTTAACTCAAATAGCTTCAAATTAAAAACTTTCCCAAGAAACTTCAAGAGAAAACAAAATAGAAGGACCTGCTATGATTATTGTATTGTAATGCTTGTCAGGCATATTCAATAAGTTGTCTTCCATTGTCAAGTAGGCCAAATTGTTTAATAATTAGTTTTTAATTTTCCATGCCGTTTATTTGCAATATACTGATGCATATAATATAGTGCCTAATGTACTTTTTTGGGAAATTTTTTCTTATTTATGACCAAGAACAAAAAGTGAAGGAATGTTACATCTTCAACCTCACGGTGTGAGGCACAAGGAATCTTCAGCCCCACGGTGTGAGGCCCTTTGGCTTCGGCCCCACGGTGTGAGGCCCTTTGGGCTTCGCTGCTTGCCAGTGTCTTATCTGGCTGGGGCATCAAGGCCTCCTGCAGCACAGAATCTTGAAAAAATTACCAAAAAACTAATAAAGCATTACTTAGACTTATAAGGAAAGAAGAAAAAAATATTAGAATTAGAAATAAAATAAGTGAAAATATATCACAAGTTGTAGATATATATAAGGTCATAAGAAACTGTATGCGAATAACTGGAAAACCTAGAAAAAATTGACTCACTTTTAGACTCATACAACCTCCCAAGATTGAATCACTTAAACAGTCTAATCACAAGTACTGATATTGAAAGAGTAATAAAAATTATTCCTGAGGACAAAAGCCCAAGCCAAAATGGTTTCTCCAGTTAAGTCTACCAAATCTTCAAAGAAAATCTAACATTGTACACAAGCTATTCAAAAAAATCAAAGAGAGAGGAAATATCCCCAGCACATTCTATGAAGCCTAAATTAGCCTGATCACAAAAGCTAAAAACAATACCAAAAATAAGTATATAATACTTTTTTGAGTTAGAGAGAGAGAGAGATAGAGAGAGATGTCATATGAGCATAGGTGCAAAACTCCCTCAACAAAATCACAACAAACCAGATATAGCAATATATTGAGAATCATCCACCTTCATCAAGTTAACTTCATCCCAGTGATGCAAGGCTGGGTGAACATATACAAATCAATCAGTGTCATTGACCAGATCAACAAAAGAGAAATACAGATTACATGACCATCTCAGTAGAGGCAGAAAAAGAATTCAACAATATTTGACATCCATTTATGATAAAAACATTCAATGAAATGGGAATAAATGGAAATTATTTAAACAGTATATGAATTTAAATAGCACATGCATTTACATTTAAATATAAATGATGAAACAACATACTAATATATGCAATCAGATTTATTTTGAGAAAACAAGTTCAGGATAGGAAGATAATTTTAGACATTGGCTCCTCCCGTAATCTAGAGAGTGAATTAAAAAAAAAATGAACATTAGTTTTAACTTCTTGACCCAGAATGTTCTCTATCCAAATTAAATTGTGTTATAGCCATGCACTTTTTAAAAATTTCCTACATAAAAAGAAATTGTTGCTAGTATTTTCCTTTATTGTCTTTTTCCTAATGTTTTTCTTTAAAACAAAATTATTCTCCTCTGTGTTTATGAATTAACCTTAATTGTCAATGAGACTGTTAATTCTGCCTTATGGCAGATTCCTTCATTAAAGAGTGTACTTTAGATCTATAATACAAATTATATGGACTCCGTATGCCTTAATTTTGGTTTAGTAAAATTAAATGTTATTAGAAAGAATGCCTTTTTAATACTATAGTCCTACATTTTGTGCCATATTTCTTATGAGACATATCTGTTAAGTATTTAAATTGGATTATTAATTTATTCTTACAGCTCAGGGGCAGAGTTTAAATTTATATGCAAATGTCACAACTTATAAAGATCTGGA